TTCCAATTGGTGACTGACAACTGCTCTACTCTGCATCTCTGCGCACACATTCCATTTCACTAGGTTTCTGTCCTTGGATAACGTCAGCCAGAGTTCAGCATGGTAGCTGGTTCGTTACTGGGTTCTGCGTATGATAGTTCAAGGTGAAGATTTTTAACCTGTGAAGGGGGGAGGTTCCCCCAGGACAAATATTTCCCTGTTTGCATCAGTCTTTTGAAGCTTAGAACAGTACTGGCAGAAGTACTAAAAGCCACTGCAATGCTCTTCTGAGTGCTCTCTCTTTTTCTTTCTGCTAGGTGGTGGTTTTGGGAAAGTACAATGCTCAAGGCTTGGGTACAGACCATGAACTGATGCTGAGGTGTACCAAGGGACAGGAGTACGTGAAAGTAGTGATGCAGAGTGGCCGAATGGTGGGAGCTGTGCTGATCGGTGACACGGACTTGGAAGAAACCTTTGAAAACTTAATTTTAAATCAAATGGATCTTTCAGCCTATGGTGAAGATCTCCTGAATCCAGATATTGATATAGAAGATTATTTTGATTGAACAAAACCCCATTTCCATTTTGTATAAACTTTTGATACTGAGTAATATGTCTTGTAAAACTGTTTCCACAGGATTAGCAGAAATGTACCAGGGATAAATGCAGTTTCTTAATAAGGTTTTGTATTGATCTTGTCAAAATACTGACTGACAAATTAATCAGTTTCAAAATGCAGCAACAAAAGCAAGTGAATTAGTGTTGGCAAAGAGTTTTCATCTGGGTTAAATGGAGTGTATGAAAAGAAGGCTGTAACAGTCTTAACAAGTGGGCTTCACTGTGCTGTTAAGGTGGCACCACATTCACTTGAATGCAAGGTAGCTCTCACTTTTTAGAACTGAGTGAAATGTGTTAAATCCTATGCCTGCCTCATAGGTCTCTTCTTCCCCAAACCAGGCAAGACTCACCTGCCCAGGTTACGAGAGCCCAATGTCACCATAGTTTACCACTAGGCACATTCCTCATCTCAGCCAGCCAGGATGCTGTGATGTGGTATGACGGTGGGGCCTGACCTGCTCAAAGCTTCCTCCAAAGTTGGCTAGGGCAGAAAGTCCTGCATCCTAAAACCACCTGTTCAGGTGAACATTTACAAGGCAGTCGTACAGTGTGTTGCCATCCCACTGGCACCCTGCAGCGCTCAGAGTTTCAAGGCTCCTGTTCCAGCTAATCTCTCCCAGCTGGTTCAGATAAACAGGGCAGCTGTAGGGTACAGAGCATTTGGAGCTCTCACTGCCTGGGAAGTGCTTGGCAAAGATGTGGCAAGATGGATGCTTTATCTTATCCTCCCACAGAAGTTTATCTCTGAAACGTGTTTTCTACTCAGCTAAGTACAGGACACAAAAACTCTGAATGCTGAAGCCAGGATGAGCTGTCAGTTGAGAGCAGGTCTTCTACTGCTTGTCACTTTAGCTGCCGAGGTTATCATGGTAGAGCTGCCCTGGTGCATGTAGTGTAATCTCCAACAGGATCCATGTGCAGTGTGCTGCAGGAGAGGCTAACACAACAGCACTGCTGGACACCACCCACAGCAGCGTTCCCTGTCACAGCAGCCTGCCCCACAAGCTGGTGGATCCAGCTAATGTGGCAGATGGTATCAGTGCCATTTTGAATGTGAGTCCTGTATCTGACATGATTCTTAATAGACAGCTATTACAGTCACTTAACAAAACCATTCATAGGGACTTGTGTGTCTTTGCTCCTGCCTGCCTGCTCCCAGTTCCCACTGTTATGCCTCCTGGATATCCAGGAGGGAATTTCTGCAGGTACTAAACTATAAATTTGACTTGTAACTAGTGACAAAGGATCTACTATTAAATTGCAAATGGAGGTTTAAGATGTTTGTTGACAGCACATACTGAGACTTCTCCCAGAAAATCACTCTTTTTTTTTTTTTTTTAAGAGAATGACTGTTTAAATGAATTAATTCTGCTGTTGGCAAAGGTTTGAGGTAAACGATGGGTGAAATATTAAGCTTTAGTCACTGATGAGATTCTACCAGAAAATAAAGATGAAGAGCATGTTCTTAATCATGTTTGTTTCATATTTAAGTTGGCATACATATGCACGTCTGGGAGTTGAGGGGCAGATCCAACATGAAACCTACCAGAAGTTCAGCTTATAATGAGTTGGAACTTGCCTTACTGATCATGGGCTGCCAAGATCCTCAGAAAAAAAACAAAAACTCAAATCTGGCATTGAACCTCGTGTGTTCCCAAGCACTGCCTGAGGTCAGCAGCAGCTGGTGGGTCTTTCCCACTCTGTGAGCAGTTAGCTGTTTCTGAAAATGCTGATGTTCATCAAGGGAAGGCAACAGATATGTATTTCTACTGCTGAAAATGGAAGCATGCAAATCCTGTAGCTGAAGCTTTTTGACAGAACCACAACCTGGTAATGAAAGGAAAAGAGACAGGTTGCTCTTTAAAATGGTGCAGATGTGTTACTTTAAGCCACAGGCAAGCAGCAATACGGTTTTCTTCCACAAACAACAGGAATGTAAGCAAAGGGATAAGTGGGGTAGCAGAGTTAAGAGACTAGACTGCAGAAATCTCCCAAAGATTTAAGTTTAATGTAGCCCACTGTTAGAGCTTAAAGTAGCAGCTTTCAATGTAGAGGAGCTGGACTCTGACCTCTGATGGTCTGTTCCAGCCCAAACTATTCTATAATTGCATGAATGAAGTCACAATCTATTGCTTACAGAACAGAATGACATTTCTTAGGACAACCAGATTCACCTTATAAGAAAACACACCTGTAGCTAGAATGAGCCAATGCAACAGGGGAAGGCAGGCACAAAGAAGAGAGAGAAGTATTTCTTGAGTAGCTTATTTTTTCTTTTTTTTCTGTATTTCCCCCAAAAAATCTGTCTTTTACAAAGGAAAGAGCTGAGAGTAAGAAAAGTAACCTTGTTTCTAAACATAAATCTAGGTACTTCTGAAAATCACACAAGTGGTAATTTTCTATTTAAGTAACAAGCTGGAGAAATCCAATTCTAAGAGCAACAGGTGTATTTTAGAAGGATAAACATACAATATTTCACAAAAATCTCTGTAAGTCAGAAGTAATGCAGTCTTGTAACAATGCTGTGTTGAAACTCAACAATATGCGGTAGCAGGTGTAAGTACTGCAGAAAGGGGCCACATTGCTCTGCTTAAAGTTGCAGTGATGGGTGATGTCCATGTGGGCCAGGGCAACAGCCCCCTGCACAGCAGAGACTGACCCCCCATGTAGCTCCAGAGGAAGGATGGATGCTCCAGCAGCCTGTGTCTCTGGATGTCTGATGTCTCTCCCTGGAGCTGGCACCAGCAGCCTCACCAGCGGGAGCTCACTCCGACTGCAGAGCTGAGCTCCTGGTGAAGGTGCAGCAGGTGGAGGTGAGCCACCAGCGTAGCCAGGAGGAGGAAGAGGAGGAGACAAGGTCTTCACAGAGACACTACAGAGCTAAAGAGCAAGTCCTGTGCAGCAAAGGAGGGAAGAACCTAGAGATTACCTCACAGGAGCAATGGCTGAAGACACCCACAGGAGGGAAGGCTGGAAACGTCTTGCTTCCAGCAACACAAAATGGCTCATTTTTCACCTGCAGCTCTGTTGTTGCAGAGTAGATGCAGAACCCTGAGAAAGATGAGGATGACTAACTCCACACCAAGGGATGCATCGATGCCAGCTGAAGCCAAGCCAAGTGTTCACACAATGAAGAAAAGGAAGATCAGAGTTACCAGGGAATCCCTCCAGGCGGGACAGAGGCCCTCACTGCCTACCTGACTGGGACAAATTGACAGGTGTTTCGTACTGGGTGCCCAGATCCCAGATGTTGCTCAGTGATTGTGTGATTCAGGATTTTAAGTTTCAGGAGTTAGGAACACATCACAGAACCATTGCCTTGGACCTCAGAAGAGCAGTTTTTCAGCTTGTGCAGGGATCTGCTTGTCAGTATGCTGGGGACACTGCCCTGGAAGGCAAGGGTGCTCAGGAGGGCTGTTTGGTTTCCAAACCATAACCTCCTCAGAACACAAACAGTTTATTCCTATGTGCAGAAGAAGGTCAAGCAAGCATGGCAGAATGCCAGCATGGGTGAACAGAAAACTCAGCTAGCTCCAACACAGAAAGGAAGTAGAAGGTACAGGATATCCAGAATACATAGAGATATTGCCTGAGTACACAGGGAGTTAGAAATGCAAGAGCTCAGCTGAAGGTGGAACTAGCAAAGGATGCAAAAAGCAGTAAAATGAGATTCTCTAAGTACCTTAGGAGCAAAAGGAAGGGTAAGGAAAGTATGGTCCCACTCCTCAGAGGGGCAGGGGAGCTAGTGACACAGGACATGGAAAAGATTGAAGTACTTTTTGCCCCGTTTTCACTGGTATGGTTTTCCCTCAGACCTCCCAGGTTCCTGAGGGGTCCTACTAACAGTACAGAAAGGTAGAGTTACAGATCACTTAAGCCAGTTGCCCATTCACAAATCCACAGGACTGGATGGGCTGCACAGAGGGATGCTGAGGAAGCTAGTTCTTAATCTTTCCAGATTAAGGAAGAAGCAAGCCAAGGAGAAAGAAAGGGTATGATTGTTGTGAACTGGCTGTTGGCTTCAACTAATGGAAGAGCGTAACAGCAGTGGTACCAGACTCTTCTCAGAAGAGCACAGTGGTAGGACAAGAGGCAACAGACAAGTTGCAATACAGGAATTAACGATTAGCTCTAAGAAATGCCCTTTTTTTGGGGGTGGGGGGGAAGTGGGGTAGTTATGAAAGTGGTCAAATGGTGGAACAGATGCTGAGAGGGGTTAGGGAATATCCATCCTTAGAGACAGTCAAAACTTCACTGGACACAGCCCTGAGCACCCTGTTTCAACTGAACCTGCTTTGAGGAGGACACTGGACTAGGTGATCTCTGCAAGTCCCTCCCAGCCTGTGTGATTCTACTATAGTGTTACTATACACTACACTTCCAAAAGAGTTAACAAGACAACATGGTAATTATTTACATAATTATACAGTAATTATCGTAAGATATGCACCAATGATTTTGCTATGTAGCACTTTTCCCTTGACTACTAGACTTTCTCTAGATTTGAGGGGTTTAAAGATACTTGTTTCCCTGTTTTGTTTTTTATTTAAAAAAAAGGAAAAAAATAAAATCGCTAAAACAAACTGAACTTACACACTGCATTGTCCATGGAGAAACAAACATGATTAAATCCTAAACACAGCCTGTGAAACTCAGTCAATAACTACTGGTTGATCATCTCCACCTGCCTGAAGCTTAAGCCTCTTTGCTTTTAAGTCAGAACCAGAGTTAGGCCGTTTATGTTCCTGTGACGACTTCACCACTGAATCTTGGACAGTCTTTGAAACAGTCCGAGCAGTTTCTCTGCTTCCTTTCGAATTCGAAGATTGAGTTGGTTTGGCCTGTAAGTGATAAACAGATCTGTTCAAATTCTAGCATTGCTTTCCTTCTTTTCAGCATTCCCACACAAGAGAGAAGATATTTATGAGGTCTGTTTTAAATCCAGTTGATTGCATTACTATGAAAAATACATTGAGCGGATACCAAACTATCAAATTACAATGGAAAGATACCTATATAGCAAGTCAGTACAGATATAAATATGTATATAGAAATATATATATATATATAAATACCCTGTAAACACTTTTCTTGTTTGTTATCCCTTCTATAGTTATGACATGTGCCTCGTTTTTCAGCAGGCCTGCCTTTGGTCCTATCTTCAGGTAGGATATTGTCGCAAATGCTGTGAAGCTGAAGTCTTCCCTGCATAAACAAAAACAGTGTTATGAGGGAAGGCTGGAGACAAAGACAGGCTAAACCATGCAGGGGGGAAATGGGACGCATTAAACCTTCTGAGGGATGTTCCAAATAGCAGCTTGGCTTTTCTTTCTCTTTCCAAGTGGACAGCCAGTTAATTTAGAGTGACTCTAGTCAACACTTAACATCATTCAGTTTGTGGAACTTTACATACACAGGGATACACGCACATGTCAATATGTCGGAATACATGGAGGAAAATGAGGAAAAAAAGATGCAATAAGCCTGCATTAGCCAGCCTGTTCTAACTTAAGACTTTATCTGGGCAGCCCCAGTTACTCTGCTTATACATGGAATGTAAATGACACTCCATATAAATAGCAGACCTCTCCAAAATGAAGCCTGCTGCAGATTAAAGGTTCCACCTGAATACAGAAGACCCCAGTTTTTTAAAACTGCAAGAGATGGAGTATTTCAAATGCTCCTCCAACTTCTGTTTTAACATTCTGAAGCTGAAATACAGTAATCTTTTGAGATTTTCTGAATACATTAAATGCATCTGAAATAACGGCTAAAACTGAGACTACAGAACATATGCAATAATACTATGTAGACCTAACGCCAGAGTAATGACAAATGACTAGTAGAGATTAAAAAAAAATAAAAAAGGAAGTAGTCATCTTACATACTTCAGATACTGATGCAGCAGTAAATGGGCAATAATTCTCTCCAGCTCCTCTCGAGGGTGCTTGGGTGGAGGAACTTCAGGCACCCTCAGTTTTGCTACACCTTTCCCGGACCACGCATCGATTAATTTCAATGGGGTTAGCTTCTCACTCATGTGTTCAGCCTGCTCAAGTATCTTGATTAGATCCCTGCAGTATCCTGTTATATCCATTTTCTCACATGCTACAGATAAAAGTAATATTTAAATAGCAAATTATTTAGAGTTATTTAGATAGTATCCATATATACACTAGGTGTATACATATATATGCCCTTTTATATATTCATAGATATGTACGTATATCTATAAATACATATCATTGTGCCATATAATAGTAATTTTTTTGGTTTTGTTTTCAAACTATAACTTAACAAATAAAAGCTATAACTGTCCCTCTGTCAAATTAGGATTTGTTTGTACTCAAACTTGTATTTATGTTTCTACTTCATTATTAAAACTCCAGTCCTGCAAATGTTTTTATATGTATTTACCATTACAAACCACACAAATTATTTCAAAGAAGCATTTACAAACTGTAAAATTTCTAAGGTAGCTTCTATGTTACTCTGCAGCTGGATTCCTTTTCTTCACCCATAGTATTTATTATGAAATATTAGAGAGTAAAAAGGAACTGAAGACTGTAAGTGAGACATTTCTTCTCTCAAGACAGTTATGGACAAAATAAGACCAAAAATGTACTAATTTTGTACAAATAAGCTTCATCATGAATAATTATTCTGAGCTCCAACACATCCATGTAGTACATAATGATCATGCTTCTACTTCATGATCAGATTATGGCACAGAATTACCCAACTGCCTCATCCAATACTAAGAATTAAGTACTGAACACCCAGTACAACTGCTAGGTTTCCTCAGACCTCACTTAGATATCAAGAGACCCTGGGGGTAAAACTAGCAGTTAACAGGACATATTTCAACTATATTTCGTCACATGGTTCCTGTGAGTCTTGGGTACAAGCCAGTTCCATACTCTTCTCAACCTCTGATCCCAGTATAAAGTTTAACTAAGCCCTATTTCCAACTCGAACAAGACATTGTTACTTACATGAATTTGCAAAACAGGTTTATTATACAGATGTATAGTTAACTGTATAAAGAAAAAAGAAGCTCAACATCTTTGTTTACCTTGCCCCTCCAAAAAGCGTACAGGGAAATAAAGTCTAGTTATGAGAACAGCTTTGAATATAGAGGTGTTCCTCAGCTGCTGAAGCATTGATCTCTAGATTATCCGAACGCTTCACAACAGGTATGTGGTATGAGGAGATGGTATTTTTTACATATTACAAGAATTCACCTGGTCCTCAAAGAAATTTAAGGTGGTTTTGTGTATTCAGTTACAGATGCTCAAGATCAACTTCTTCCCAGCACTCCTTCCAGAGTTTTCTAGATTTAGATGGGGATTCCTATGTCTAAATCACAGCTCACACTTAGGAAGTCCAGCAAGAGATACTTTATGCATCTTCAGAAACTTACGGCTTTCTGGATGAGTACCAAAAAATGACAGTTAAAGCAGGCAGTGATCACCCATGAAAGTGTAGTTTAAGCTAGCTACCCAACACTGCCCAGGACAGTTGTGGTCAAAGCAGCAAAAGAGCTTATGTCCCAGAACCACATTCTGCTTGAAACCACCCTCCTTTACCATGCAGCAGATCTTGTTTCTGTTCATCTTCCCAGTTCCCTCTATGTCTAGCCCATATGCCTTCCCTCTTATGATCCCAACTTTCTTTCAAAGGAAGAGTGCACACCAGACAGACAGTGAGCAGTTAAGGCTAACACACAGCCAAATCTTGAATTAGAGTGCTCAGCTGTTCTGCACAGGTATGTCCCATGAGCATGCAGCACTGAAATGCTCAGAGGTTTTACCAGGCAAGCTGTAAGAGGACACGTGCAAACTGTGCATTCTCACAGCCTAAGTGTGAACAGTTCCACATGCTGAGAGCAAGAGGCTCCCTCTCAAAATAAATCTTTAACACCCAAACAAATCCTGAAACAAACCCCGACACATGCCGAAATCGTTTTAAAACAGGTGAGCCAAACTCCCCCTTGCCCCAGCTTCGCTTCTGGGAACAGGTGACTGGCTGAGCCTGCAAGATACCAAAGTGTCTGGCCTCAAGCAAGAAGCAGAAATGATCCTACTAAACACCCTGAACTCAGCAATATTAAGTCACCAAAACCTGATGTTCAGAACAAAATTTGCACAATGGAAACAGGCAGTATTATGAGCACACTTCACAGAAGTTGCTCACACTTTCTCTAATGTAGGTATTTCTTTAAGCCAACCTTCTCCATGGTCACCATCCCTGGTTATAAAAACAATTTACTTACGGCTCTCCCTACAGCAGTTATCACACATTTTGTTGCAGTTTGCAGAATCCCATACTTCATCAAAATGATGGGCTATGAGGACTCGGCGACATCTGAAAGAGCAGAGAGCAAATGACTATAGAACATAAGTGTATACACCTGTGTTATAAATCATATGCCATAAATACACCTGTGCCATAAATCACCTGGCAAAAAGAAGGTCCCTTGGGTCATCTCATGTCTTAAAACAAGCATGAGGGACTGTCTCATGAAAAATCAGAAAACAAATACTGCTACACAGTATCCCCTGTCTGCTGTGCTAAGAGGAATAACCAGCAGCTTTTAATAATAGTGCGCACCACTGTAGGAACAGACTGGTTAAAGCAGAAAGGTCTGCAATTTCTATAGAATGAAAAAAATCACAAGAATATGGACTAATTCTTAGCCTGAAGCCAACAAAGGCTACACTGAATGCACAAGTTACCCACAACATAGATACAAGTGTTTTTCCATTAAGTATTCCAAGTAGCACAGTGCAGCAGATGAAGCACATGTGATTCCTGTATGGCCACTGAATACTGGTACCTTGAGAGTAAAACCCAAAGCATTCCAGTTTTCACTCTGAATGGGATTTGAAATTAAAACAGTGTTTGTCAATAGACATTTCACCTCAACATAACTTCTTCCAGAATTTTATCTGAAGCTGGCAACCAACACATCAACAGTCAGTTATGTGCAACAGTACATGTATTGAGCAGCTAAACCACAAACTCCAAACTCAAGACTCTGGTACAATAGGCAAAAAAAACCCTCCCCCTCTCTGTTCTGAGAGGGGAGGGAGGGAAGAGTTTCTTTGATTTATTGTTGGCTTTTACTGTTTTGTTTGGGTGTTTTAAATGGCTTTTTTGTTTTCAAATGCCCTCTATAAAACCTCACTAACTGGTCTATTTACAAACTAAGCAACCAAACCACCACAGTAACTTACTTCTTCAGATTCTGGCAGTAGGACACCATATTATACAGCTTCTCTTGCCCTACATTTTCCATCACTACCATTGAGCTGATTCTGAATATATCTCCAAAACCATAATATAAAATGCAGTCAGCTTTTTGGTCATCTCTACCTGCAATGCATTAAAAAGAATAACAACCACAAAAATATAAAATTAGAAGATGTTTATTTAAAGTACAGCTTTTTTTTGGTACAAATACCACTCTTACCTGCATGGGTTTCTGCAGCCCCTATGTAGAGAGGACATGACTGTAATGGAGTATCAAGCATAACACACTAGGCAACAGAACATAGCATGATACAGACTAGAAATAAAATAGAACAGTCTTCTACAAACACAGATTCAAGCAAATTGAAAATACATCACAATGGAGATTTTGACTTTTTAACAACCAAAATAAAATATTAGCATCATACAGAAAGTCAGGGAAATCACTATTTTCTCACCCTAACACCTCTTGGAAAATCCTAGCCAAATACATCTTGAAGCCTAATTCTTACTTATTTAAAACACAGTGTGAGCTTCAAATACCTTATTAGGTATTAATGGTAATAAATGAAGAAACAATTAGGTTGTTGATATTCCATTTAAAACCAACTGTGCCTCCTATACCTGAATTTAGATCATCTCTTCCTTCCTGCTGCCCACCCCTCCCAGTGATGTGCTGATGGGTGCCAACCCACTGTTTACAAGATCCAGAGAGCAGAAAAGGCCTAAAAACCCCTAAACTTCTAAAAAGGTTTCACATTTAAGAGAACTACTTCACATGGATAAGCAGTCAAAGGGAAAAAGGAAGGTTTCATAAGCTAAGTAGTACATTCATGCAAATGAGTAGCAGTGCTTAATTAATCCCTCCCAAAAGAATCTCATTTAAATAGTAATGAATAAGAAACACAAAAGCTTGCTTTAATCCCAAATTGATAAACATTGTGAAACAACAGGTGCAGCACCTATATGGCCCTTTTCTCACCACTTCATTGCTTACACTTCCCATCACCTCTAGCACTACCTAGAGGTAACCAGTCTATAGCATAAGCAGATGCAAACTCCCACAGACTTTGATGACTGCTGTACTTCTTAGGCCAGTGTTAAGGCCAGTTTCTATCACAGAGCCATAGTTAGAATTTCTACCAGCTGCCCCTCAAGATTCTTAAAAAGCTTTCCTCCACATAGATTTAATCTGTCTTTGAAAAATAATGCACAAGGTTGAAAAAAAAACCAAAATACCCCAAAACTTTTTTTAGCCACAAAAGCTATTTAGTGCTGCTATACACTGATCAGTCCTTAAAATTCCCTGCTCCAGACTCCCCATCCTACTTGTGTTTCTGTGGCTACTGAAATTCATACAGCAATTAGATATCTAGAATCAATCTGAGCAGATCACATAGCCCCGCTGCTATGCAAAGAAAAAAAAAAAATCCTTTCTATAACACATCTGATCAGTCAATGTCACGTTATGAAATTACTCTGGTAAGCCACAGATGCCACAGAAATTAAGTAATTAAAACAAATGCTGAGTAAACGGCTGGGTAGTTTGCTTCAAAGCCTCTTCACAGAAGCAGAGTGGCATTACACACTCTGGAACCTGTCTCAAAGACAAGACACTTCACACAAATGACTAAAATCAAAGTGCAATTTTTTTTTGGTTTAATGAATGGAAATGGCAGCTTTGCAAAAGCCATTTCCTACAATACCTGCACGTCCACTTTCTTGGTAGTAGTTCTCCATGGATTTGCTCATAGAATGATGAATTACAAACCTCACATCAGGTTTATCAATTCCCATGCCAAAAGCAACAGTTGCTACTACAACCTGAAAAAAGATTAAGAAACCATCAAGGTATCAAACCACAATTTGTTTAAATAAAACGTAAGTCTATGAGAAATATCTACTTAACCTGGATCTGATTTGCTGCCCATCCTTTATGAACTTTGCTCTTACATTTAGCATCCATGTTTGCATGGTAAGTCCCTGCCTTGATTCCCAGTTTCTGCAAACTCATAGTAACTTGCTCAGAATCCTTCTGAGAAAAACAGTAAACAATTCCTGCACAAAAGTGAGAGATGCCTTATTGTAATGTCTCAAAAAACTCACAACAAACAATTCCCAATACTTAAAAACAACTTGGAAAGTTTTATTAACTTACAAATAAATAAATAAAACCCAGCAAACAATCTTTGTGTCTATTCAGTCTCCAGTATGGTAGCCATGAAAGAAACTTCAATTATTGGCTTTGACTTGTAGGCTAAAGAGAAAATATGGATAGCAATCCACATAATTATAGAAGTATTCTATGTTCAAGGAGGACAATGGTTAATAATGCTTATGTAAAGAGGTGCTGTTCATTATGATGTCTCACCTGAGGTTTCAGATATATCCATTTTTTGTCATTAGTCAGCCTGGGCTAAGTCAAGGATTACACACAAAGCCACATGATTTGTGATCATTTTAGCACAGTTTGTCCTCAGGGAGTTGCTCATCACAGACACAAGAGCTCGACAGCAGGGACAGACTGCTGCCCTGGAAAACTGGGTTCTGGTGCCTTTGTAATATGGCTCTCCTCTTTTATTTGCACTACATAATTCATTGATTACATAAAGTCCAACTTTTACAGTTCTGCTTTCATCAATCAATGCAATTCTCCCCACCACACACCCATTCTGGGCACTGGATAATACATGAATCTTGCGATCAAATGTGAAAAAGAAGTGCTAAAGATAAGTAAGTATCCTGACACACAGATACTAAATAACATAACTTATGATTTAAGAACATATACGTAACCTTTTCTGAGCCTTGTTTTTACAAACTTAAAAATTGCTATTATTATGCAAACGTTGCTCTATATACATCAACATTATATTTCAATACTTCAGAATATATAAGCAAAATGTAAAGACATTTAAACACTAATGAATGAGATGAGTAATCATTCGAGGTACAGATCTTACTAAATTTCATTTCTTCTAATGCTGGATTTTTAAGGTATGGTGAAACTAAAGTTTATCTACAAGTTTCAGGATTACTCAAAAACATTCCTGTAACACTGAAGATTATAAAAAAATAATATACCTTTTTAAAAAAAAAAACAAAACCAACACTTTTTACCTGAAAGTCCTTTGTATCTTCCATTAATCATCTTAACAATGTCCTCAATGAAATCTTCATTATTTGAAGGCTTATGCCGAACCTCAAAAATACAACATACACACATTGGAGTTCTTCAAGTGGGTACACAGTCTGCCAAACAATCATATTTATTCTACTTCTTCCAGCACAATAAAAACAACTGTTCTGCATTTAACCAAAATTATTATATCCTTTTTGTGCACAGTCAGATTACATCTCAAAAGTCCACAGAAAAAAATAAAACCAAAACCACAAGTTTTCCCATGAAGAGCAATAAAAGAACCTGGGGCCAAACTGAAAACACAATGAATCACAACGTTTTGCAATCATATGACATATTTTCCAACAGGCTGCAGTAGTCTAAGTCTGTTACCTACCTCTCCCCCGTACACAGTTCTATCTGCTAAGCTTTGCCCATAGAGACAAAGCAGCCCAAGGTCCTCTGCAGATGACAGCAAGTTCAGCAAGATGACGAGATGAAAGGACACCATCGCTCAGTTGAAAACCGATTTATTATTAAAATGTATAATTGAAAATTAAGACATACCTCATAGTAAAGATTGGGCCGGTTGAAAGAAGCAGTAAAGGTAATGCACTTTTGAACATGCAAAATTTTCTGAGCATCTTTTAAAACATGATTTGTAGCAGTTGCTGTCAATCCAATCAAGGGAGTATTTGGAAACTGTCTTTTCAAGATACCAAGAGACTTGTAGTCTAAGCAAGAAAACAGAAAAAGAAAAAGAATTTCACATACCACAGAGTCAAACTTAAAAAAGATATTAATGTAATTCAGGTAGATAGTATTCAATGGGGTAATACTGCAATAAATGTTATTATTGATCAGTTTACTACAGAATCAATTTATACACCCAAATGAAGTAATAAGAAGGCTGCACTTATCAAAACAGATGCTTTATCTTCTAATTGAGTTTTACAGAAGCTGCCCCAATTCAAAAGGCAAAGCATATTGAAATATGAGTCCTTAAAAAGTTAGAAAAAATTAAGTGTCATGGCATTAACAAACATTCAGGTTATTTTGCAGGTCTGTTTTTACAAACAGCTTTTCAGTAAACACAGCTCTGCTAGTAAACAGTCAATATGGAATTTGGATACACAGACCAGAATGTACTAAGGAAAGATTCTAAAGGCTCAGTGCTGACAATCACTTGCTGCCTTAGAAGAGAAATGCAGCCAGTGATACAAATTCCACATTGCCTGTTTACTAGCATGGCTCTTTGCTCAGACATCACTTTTTAACAAACCTGCAAAGGTTGACTTTACATCACTATTGATTCAAATCAGGTTTTCTTTCAAAGGCAAAGGAAGAATAACCAGTAAGTAAGTCTTCTACAACAGGCAAGACAGGAAACATACTGAAGTGCACTTCTTTTTTTCCCTTGCAAGTCAAGGGCATTTAGAAGTGATCAAAGCATAGCTCATGAATTTACAGAATGCTCTAGCTCTTGTCACCCACAGTATTACAAAGCGGTGTACAGAATAAATTATTTTACATGTAGCATTAAAGCTGATTGTATTGCCCATATTAAAGATGGCAGCCAAAAACTTTCATTTTATTAAGCTCCAATTAAAATAAACTGAATTAGGAGTTTTTCAGAATACTGACAGAAAAATCTACATTGGCACCACCCTCCATTTGCATGAACTTAACTCCTGGATAGGGACACAGTCATTTGTGCATTAAAGTTCTTGAGCTAACCCAGGTGCTAGCATTACACTAAGTATTTGCTTCACACATGAAGAAAGCACCTGTGGCTTTATTTCAGGCCTCATTCAGTATTGATGCCTGAAACTGCAAACTAGAAACTGGATTTCTAATGAGCATACCAGGCCTGAAGTCGTGGCCCCATTGACTACAGCAGTGGACCTCATCTACAGCAATGCGAGCAAGGCACCCTGCTTGATAAGCCTTCTCTAGCTTTGACATGAACATTTTGCTTTTCGCAATCTTCTCCGGGGTCACATAAATGAGCTTCAGTTGGGAATTTCTGTTTAGCATTTCGGTATGAACCCACTTCACATGTTCCTGTTAGAAACAAAAGGAGAAATCAGGGGCTAAGAAACTAGGACAATTCGCCACCTATGTGCTGTGATACAGATAATGTGAATAAGTGTCTTCTGTTCTTGTTTTAATAACAAGAACACATTAAACCAACACCTTTAATGGAATAAATAGATTTCATGGGGCTATTTAGAGGATGTAAAGTCCCTTTAGCTGGTGCATGTTGTAGATTTTTACTGTTTCTAGACTTAAAAGACTGGAGTAGGTGACCTTTTTGTCCATTAGTAACATATTGAACAGTGCAGGCTTTTAAATATAATTATCATACTTTAGGATAGGAAGCTGTTTGATCCAGAGACCAGGAAGCAACTTATTTCCCAGTCTGCTATTAGTCAATTACTTTTTAAAGTAAGTCAGTTACTTTTTACAAATTTTCCTGACTAGCAGAAGGCCATGGTCATTAACTTCTACATGACGCTGACTTTGATAGTTTAGTGGCTTGATGCAATGTGCCAAACTTGGAGCCTGCTTTAAGGTAGAATATGTTAAAAACTCAGTAATAAATACTACAGTCGTGTACAAGAAATTATTTTACACTTGTATTACCACAGGTGTGTTTGGTACATTATAGTTTATTGGAAAAATACTGATACCACATGATGAAGGAAAGACAAATATTCAATGGTCTGCTTTTTCAAAGTTCTGTGATAGATTTTCCAAGTGTTAAAATTAATATTTTATATATAGTGATCTTCTACAAAGACTTATAGTAGTGGTAAATACTAGGTAACAGTTTACCACCCCTTATGAATTGTTAATAACCTCTTAAGAATCTTAGCACAGTTGATAGAATGGCAATACTTGATGAAATCGTGCCATTCATTCAGTAGTCATAAACAACATGCACAGAGGCACAATGCCAGCACATACACCACAAAACCCACGAAGATGTGGCAGTTAAACATACCTTACTGCTTGAGGCATTTAATAAAGTTGCAGAAATACCAAGCTGTTCCAAAACCATGAGCTGATCTTCCATAAGTGATATCAAAGGACATATCACAAGTGTGAAACCTGTAAGAATCAGTCATTGTGTAAACTGAACAGTTGAGATGTCACAAATATCTCCTGTAACACGTTTTACTAATGCATCAGCCCTGTTCTGAAGGAACTGCCAAACGTGAGCCTAAGCTTCATACACCCAGTAGCACATTCCATTCCTATATAGCTGATAAGTGACTGCTAGGCCACATGGGGATACTTCTTATCAGGTGGCCATGACATGCACCTTCTCTTAGAATCTAGACCACAGACATCTGAGCTGCAATAAACAGAGAAAGAACTAATATACAAAACAAAGTTGAATTCACATCTGTGTCATGAGGTGCTAATTTACTGTATAACTAAGCAATGCTAGGTGTTGATAAATTATGTATTTGTAAATAAGTAAAATTCCATGCAACTGGATGGGTTATTAAAAAAAAAATAATTTTAAAGTCCAAAACTGGATACTTATTTTTTAAAATGAATATACAAAGGCTCTTCTAAATAATCTGAAGCTAAAACTTTAGAATGGAAAAGACAAATAACAGATATTCATACTTTGATAACTTACAGTCAGTACATTGATCAAAAGAGAAAGAAAGGAAAAGTAACAAATGTTTAAAAAGTTTTTTCAGTGTTTAGAGGAACATAGATAAATTACTTAAATCTAAACCATACATAAAAGGCACATTATTTTAAAGCTACTATTGCTCATTCAGAAAAAATGAACTGAGAGAGAAAAACAAGTGTTTCTAGTCAATCTTTGCTGTTTTTTCTCATACAGTGATACTACACACCAATATAATGTTCATTCTCCAAAGAACTACAAAAAGGAGAAAATAAATACAGTTGTCTACATACGATCTTTTCTTCCCTTACATACCTTCAGAACAGACAGCTGGTAACTGATAACAAAGGCTCTTTCCACCACCTGTAGGCATGACAAGAAATATATCCTTTCCTGCCATTGAAGCGTTTACTGTTTCAAGTTGCAAGGACCTAAACTTCTGGAGTTTAAATTTGCCCTGCAATGCTGTGTTTAGCTTCTCATACCATGGAAAATCTGTTAAGGGAAAAAAAAGAAAGCAAAACACGTTTCATAACAAGTTAAAATACAAGAAGGAAGGACAATTTACATATACAATAACTAAATCTGGAAGCAACACAATTTGAGATCTGGAAAAGTGTTCAGAGATTCAATAATGGTACACAAAAAGCCACACATAACCCGAGTCTGTATAAACCAGTTTCTAAGGTGGACCTTTGAAAACCCTATAAAATGTAAATACAATCCACCTCCAGACTAAATGTTCTCATTGCACGTAAGTGTGAACTAGTGTGAAACACCCACAAGCAGATGAAGCACTTCAAAGTGCTAATGATCAAGTTAACTGCTTAGTCCACAACTAAATGGAAATCAGAAGCCCACCCTGAAAATAAATAAAACCAGAGACTGAGATCTGCAACAGTTGCCTGAAGGTGTCCCTTATACATATGCAGTGAATACAAATAGTGTGATGAAAACAGGGCTACCATTTTTGCATTTATTTTAAAAGGGGGAAAGGAGAAATTTAATCATCCCCAAAATAATGACCCCAACATTCTTTTTCTTCATTAAAGACTCCTTCATTTAAGAGGTAATACTGTAAAAACTTAAATGATGCATCAAGAACAGTATTAACTATTTTCATATTATTAAAATTAAAATGCAGAACAACTGTGGAAACTCCAGGCTACACCATGTGCAGCGCAAGCATTAACTCTGGGACTTGAGGTTCCAAAGAGCACAGTTGAGATCCAAAGCTCTCTGGAACCAAGAAAAGCCTCCCACTGACTTCACTCAGCCTTATGCTGGGACCAAATTTAGCAACAGCTCTTATTCAACATGTACACAGCATCCGATTGCAAAGATGTTAGTTTTCAAAGCATAGGAGGAGAGATTTAGGCACAAAGCTATCCAAAACAAATTTATATGTTCAATAGCATTATTCTGCAATTATAAAGTGTCAGTATTCTTACATATGCAGAACACTTTTCTCAAGCACAGACAAATATGGATTAGACTAGAAAATTAATTTAATTTTTAAAAAAGAAAAAAGAATACACACAATAGATAGAGGCAGAAGCTAACAATGTGTTTCCAAATTGCAAGTGAAATAGAAGAGAGGGAAAAATAGTAAAAGGAACTGAATTTAATTTGGTTAGGCATAACATGGTCAAGAGCCACCAACTATCCAGGAGTTCAGTTAATGTTTAACTTGAAAGACACCACTTCCAAAAGAACAGGAGCCCTCACACCACCATGAGGCACTTGCCACTTGGACTAACTCTACCACACTAATGTATTCTACATTACTTTTGGCAGTCAGCATCCATCTAATTTGCATTAATTTGGTAACACAATGAAACTACATGACCCATGGCAAACACAACCAATGTCCTACCCACTCAAGCAAGAAACACAAAGACAGCAAGAAGCAACTTTGATAAAGCAAAACTGTTATTATAAAATCCTGAAAAGATCCAGAGTAATTATTTTTAGAAGATAAACAGGGAATACAAGTATGGCAGTATATCCAAATTTATGCTGGGATTCTTACAGCAAATCCAATCAAGTTGTGACTTTGCAGCAATAAAAGAATAAAAGTAGTTATAACAGGCCATTCTTATGATAATTCTGCCCAGAAGAACTCAGATTAATATTTAAGAATGTCCAGGGAGTTACATACAAACACTACCCTGCGTAATTAAGATGGCAGGTCACCCAGCTGAACAAAATGAAATAGGACAATACCATTACCCACACAAAATTCTGTATGAACACATTTTTTCCCCTACTGAATCAGTTTATTTTTATCTTAGAATATTTGAATTTGTCTCTGCAAACCTTTTTTGTTCCATGCCTCGGCTGAGGTTTCAGTGTCTTTACTTCCACCTGCCTCCGAGTCTCCTGAGGACTGCTTTATCAGACTCTTTATTCTCATCTTCTTTTCGATGAGTTCTTGCTGTTTATCTACAAGCTCCTGAATTTGCATCTCCACTGCTTGCAGCTCATTTTCAACGGAAACCAGTACCTCCTCCAGCACTGAAGGGAAAAGCAAGTTAAAGGCAGTACAGAGACTACAGTAACATGTTAATCCCAGTTTTAAATGGTATTTTATTTGATTTGTTGAGATAAAAATTAAAAACAAACCAAATACATCTAGAGAAACAAGAAAGCCTGACAGGCCCACTAATGACATTATAGCATCTAATATTGCATATGCCATGTAAAAATACTGAGCAAGACTTAACAACATATTTCTTATATTGGTAGGTCATATATACACAGCTGTGCTATAAATTGTCATCTCCGATATGATGTATTAGAGATATGCACACTACCATCACCTGCATTAGTAAATAAAGTATATTACAATCCAATTTCCCAAAAGCAGTGCCTCTCCAGAGAAACACTTGAAATTATTTTCTTTTCTGCAGATGAATGTTAAGCACTGAAAAGCACATTGCATAAGCCCTCATATTAAAGCTGTACTACAATGAAAATGGGTACTCCAGCCAATTCCAAGGTGAGCACATTAGAAGATCTTTAATAGAAAGCATTTACATGTGAGAAGCCCCATGAACCTCAGCAAGTAAAGGTTTTCTGAAGGCAGAAATAGCGATGTTAGCAAAAAACTACATTTTATGCACTCAAGATCTCCCTCCTATGCAGAACCAGAGAATCTGCTGAATGTCAAGGTTTGAACACAGAGGATAAATGCTTTTTCAAAGACAAGCCATTCTTCACATCTGAAAATCCTGAGGCAAATACTCCCCAAAAGCTTGGGTTACACAAGTGAATCTTTGGTGGGAATTTGCCTCTTTACATCCTAATATGCATGTGTATGAATTACGGACCGTGTTCTAGAATCCAGTCCCCAGGGTTTAAAAAGAGTAATTAACACATATCACAGTATGCCAAGCAGGTGCCACTATTTCAGAGCCAGGTCAGAAAAGCATAAGAAGCAGCATTTTCCTCCCCACAAAATACAACATTTTTGTCCAAGCATAGCAGATATGATAATGTGCTTATGGAAGCAAAAATGTATGATACAGAAAAAGATATCCTCTTTACAAATGGCAAAATATGGGGATGTTTTGTCTTCCTAAATGCCCACTATTGCACAGCAGGAAAGAGCTGAAAGTGTCTTAAAATATTAAGCATATTTTCAAATTATTGAAAACCAAGTAATTTCCTTGACTAACCTGCTTTTGTTTTACTTTTTATCTAAGCAATAAAAAGTTATCCAGTAAAAGAACTTTTTCTTTAAATCTGAAATATAATAGCTTAGACTCCACACACTCCTTTCTGCATATATCAAATTCATATAAATAGTAATAACATCAGGTGATTGTGTCTGTTAGCTGAAATATAGCAAAACGAACATACTGAATACTAATTTTGGATTACCTTCAACAGCTGCCATCTTTGGAGGTTGGAGAATGTTGTTATCCTTAGGAGACTTTATTTAACTGAACAACTATCACTAAAAATAAAATAAATAAATAAATAAATAAATGTTATTCCATGAGTAATCCTTCTAAACTTCAAAGAAATTTACTATGAGATTTTCCATTAATAGACGAGGTGTTAACAGTTTAAGCACTAATTCCTTAATCTGCCTATGTAAATATTCCTAACTAGATGAAAACATGCTTTTTTCCTGCTGCGAAAGGGACAGATACCAACTCACAACCAATTCCTCAGGCTCCAGGCTAAATGAAACCAAGTTAATTTTGACCAAGTCATATATTTACTGTGAGAGGCACTGTCTAATACAGACCAGTCATTCACCTACTTTTGACATACTGCAGGGTTTTTTTGTCTCTTCAAAGACTTAGAATTTATTTTTTGAGCAATGTTTTCATATTATAGGTTAACAATACAAACCCCAAGAAACTTGATATTCTCTCACTCTTGCTGAATTCTGAACTATTTATCATATACATGGGAGTCATATCTGAGAGAAAGTGAAAGGGAACAAATTCAGCTGACCGTCACTATAAGCAGATTCTACCATAACAAATATTTTACTGCATTCCAGTAAATGAGGGGAAAATATATACAAAAAAGAATGTGTGAATAAAACACTGACTTTGCCAGAAGAGGTTATTTTTTAGTTATAAGTTAAAGGCCCACACTTCAGAAAGAAGATGATTGTTGTGTAATTCAACTCAGCAGCGTCCAGGTCACATAATTCGAGTTACACAGTTCTGCCTTCATACCACCTGCCACCTGCACAAATGTATTTGTAAATATGAGTCTCCCCAAAGTACAGAGCGAGCAGGGCCATTCCAGAAAAAGCAGTAGGTCTGGAACAGACACACTGTGAATGCACACTTCTAGTAAACACAAACCTCACAAATACCATTAGGCTGACAGCTCAGGAGACAGAATCCATTTTCTTATCCAAGGAGTGTATAGAGAACGAAAATTACCTATGAATGTTTCCCTGTGTGCTGCTGAAATTCCATAAGTCTTTAATTTGGCTTCTGTCTCTGGAAGAAGTAGTGCAGTGTACCTTATAATTTATTCTGTAACACCACTGCCAACAAAGAGCCCCAATTACAATTTGATTCCTCAAAAATGCAGCTCCTAAGAAATTGAATAAAAATTAACACATTGCTTATAAACCATAGTGGACAAAAGGCAAGTGGAAGTACCTTGTCCATCCAACAGTTTTACCTCTGTAAAAACCAGCGGAATTCCTGTGAATTCATCCCATTACAGCCTTTTTCTTAATAGCCCACCATCTGGGGGAAGAGACCTCTAAGCAGATACGTGATGGCTGTGCCTAAACCAGACAGGTTAGTAACCAGCATCACTTTCCCTTCTGCACAGATTTAAATCAGTGTCCCAGCACTGGAAGCTTTCTCACAACATCTTCTGCCCAGAGTCCAAAATAGCCCTCTTCAGTCTCCATTCTAAGAAGTCACATTAACAGATCATTACCAAACCAAGAAATCACAACTTAGGGCGAAAAAAAGAAAAACCCAACAACACTTGCACAAGCAAGATGTGTCACCTTAGCAGTAGTTTAATCAGAGGTATCTAGAGGAGGGCCATAGGGATAATAAGGGGCTGGAACACCTCCCATACTAAACCAGGCTGAGAAAGCTGGGGCTGTTCAGCCTGGAGAAGGTTCAGGGGAGACCTTAGAGCAACCTTCCAGTAGCTAAAGAGGGCCTACAGGAAATGTGGAGAAGGGACTCTTCATCAGGGACTGTAGCGATAGGACAAGGGGTAATGGGTTTAAAGAGGGGAAGTTCAGATTAACTATAGAGAATTCTTCCCTGTGAGGGTGGTGAGGCACTGGCACAAGATGCCCAGAGAAGCTGCCCCACCCCTGGCAGTGTTCAAGGCCAGGCTGGACGGGGCTTTGAGCAACCTGGTCTAGTGGAAGGTGTCTCTGCCCACGTCAGGGGGTTTGGAACCAAATGGTCTTTAGGTCCTTTCCAGCCCAAACCGCTCTGGTTCCCTAGCCACCGTGCAGGTGAAGCGGGCGGCAAGGGGGCTGCCAACGGCCTCGGCTCACACCGCTTCCTCCCGCGCGACGGTGTCAGCCCTGGCGAGCGCAGCGCTCCCTCCCCCCTGTACGAGCGGTCAGTGCCGGAGCGCGCACCACCCGCCGCGCACCACCCTCTCCGCTCCCGCGCACCAGCACCGTGGCCGCTCCCCATTCGCACCTGTACCGCCCGCTCGCAGACCATACCCCCTCCCGCTTCCGCTTCTTCCACTGCCGGCTTCCCTCTAGCCAATCGCCAGGAGGGTGCTGGCGCAAGGGTGGCCACGTGCATCCCCTCTCCCCCAATCCGCGCCGGCGCTGCGAGGCTTCCGTCAGAGGTAATGAAAGCAGAGAGGCGGGCATAGCGACGGCATGCCGCTCGAACAACGCGGGTACTGATTGGTGCCGGCTCCTCCAATCGGCGGCCCCCTTTCAGCCGGCGGCGAGGAGAAGGGGACTGCGTGTTTCCGGAAGACGTGGCCGTCGCCGCTTCTGTGCCCCGCTACCGGTCCTGCCGCCGCTATGATTTCCCTCTCGGACACCCAGAGTAAGCGCCGTACCTCGCTACCGGTAGCCCGCGGCGGGAGGCGGGTTGCCCGCTGTGGGGCTAGGAGCTGCTGTGTCCCGGAGCGGGGAGATGGGGGCTGTGGAGGTGGCCGCGCATCTTGGGGCGGGCGCTCCCAGAGCCTACTGGGCCCTCACTTGTGGTTCGCGCCTCCGCGGCGCGTCGGTTGCAACCGTTGGAGTGCCTGGGGCTGAGGGCGCCGGCCCGGGTGGCGAAACGCGGTTCTTCCTCGGCCCACGCCCGCTCGGGGTACGGGCTGGGCGCGGCTCTGGGAGGGGAGTCACTGAGGCGGTGTCCGGCCTGTGCAGGTGATGGAGGGCCGTCGGTACGCTCGTTTGTCACCCCGCGGTGGTTCCCGATGAGCACCGGTTGGAAACAAGCAAATCTGAGTGCAGGTTTGCAAACCTGAGGGTGCAGGCGGGGCTTACCTGACTGCCCTTGTCGGTACCGCTGCTTTGTGAGGGCTGTCAAAACCCGCGCTGGTGCCGGCCTTGGGGCTAGCAGCGGCACCGTGAGTCGTGGGTAAAACAGGATAGAGGGGTACAGCGAAGCCCCCTGCGGAACCGGCTGCACCATCCTTAGGAGAGCAGCAGCATCAGCGCCGCCACTGCTGGCATTTGTCTTGGGCTGCGAGCTCCTGGGTGCTGGAAGGGATGCTATGGTGTGAGGATGGCAAGAATGAATGAAAGATGAACGGTAAGCAAAAGTAGCAGTTAGCTGAAATCTTCTACTATGCCTCCGTGTGGACATTGGTGGCTTTGAATCACTTAATTGTATGTTTCTGGCTTGATTGTGTTCCTCTTGCCTTCCTGTTATAATGCTGGATGTTGGAAGGTGACAGAGGGGGGTTGAAAGTGAAGAAAAGATACTCAGTATGAAGTGCAAGAAAGAATCAGAATCATAAAGTGATTTGACTTGGAAGAGCCCTTAAAGACCATCTAGTTCCCAATCCCTCTGCCACAGGCAGAGACACCTTCCATTAGACCAGGTTGCTCAAAGCCTTGTCCAGCCTGGCTTTGAAGAAGTGCTTGTATGTAACTGTAGTTTTGCTAACAGAGATACTGAAAGGGAATACAAATAAATCAAAGTGAAGAGGTTCCCAAGAGCTTAAACTGCAAGTTAAAGAAGAATGTTTGGCCTTTGATTTAAATTAACATCTTGCATATGGTGCATTTTTGGCACAGTTGCCATGAAAGGAGATGAATCTGCTTGATAAGCGCCATAGTATCGGTTATTAAGGAGGGTAAGTGCAAAAGACTTTTAATGAAAGCTTTTTAATGGAAATTAAAAGAAATAAGTTTAACTGGATGGTAGGAAAGTGGGAATGGAGGTGTTGGAGAGCCATTCAAGGCCAAGGATGAAGATGGGCAGAAAAGCAGGCTAGCTAGCAGCATTCAAGGTCAGTGATTTCTTGAGAAAATGAGGTTTTTTGCTCTGTTAATGGGATGGGTACTAACCCTTGGGGTTTATTTTTAGATTTCTGATTGATTAAACCCTTGTGGACTTTGCTTTTGCCCATTCCCCTGTTCTCTTGCCTAGAGTATTCTGGGGGAGAAAAATTCCTCATTTGAGACCTTCAGCTAACTCCAGTGCTGAGTGTTGGTTTTAACTGGCAGAACCAAGAGTAGGAAGTAAAATACTGCAGAATTTAGGGTGTTTAAGTGTTTGGGTTTTCTACTGTTTTTCCCAAATTCTACAGATATTTCACTAGGTATTTTTAAACTTGCTGCTGTTTAGAAAAATTTGGAGCTAGCCATCGAGTCACTTGTGTGGTAGTGTGATTAATACCTGAAGAGGACCACTGTTAGATGATACTTGAAAAGTTAAATTTGCATTTGTAGTCTAGAACTTCTTAAGTGATTCATGGAATGGTGTATAAATCACCAGTAATTGCAAAAGAATGCACTTAGTATTGAAAAAACAATTTGGGGAAAACTAAAAGTACAGCTAGAAAAATAATAATTAAAAATGGGAACTTCATATAGCCTATAAACCGCTTTAATGTTTTTCTTCTGAGAGCCCATAGTGCACAATCCCATTATTTTGTACACAAGAGATAAAGGATTTGCATTGTCTTCCCTGAACTTTCACAAGCAATGTGTCTTCATTTTAAGCCTTACTATTTACTAAGCTGTTTTGGTACAGTGCTGCCATAAGCTTGCAGAGATTACAGGGTTTCTGCAGAAAGGTTCAGACAGCATTGCTCTCTCCTCTCAGTACATCAAAATCACTTTTAAACAATCCAGATCAAAAGTCATGTGGGTAGTATGTGTTTCTGCATTTCTAGGCATTGAAATGTTGTATTTGAGTAATACAGGAAGGCTCTTCTGGTGCTGGAAAAAGCATTTATAAATGGTTCACGCTGTTGCAAAGATTAGGTATGATATGTCAGTGCTTCCCCCCGCCTTTAAGAATGCTAGTCAAATATATTTCCAAATTCTGATATAAACCAATATACCATCTATTGAGAGATTGGGAATAATCGTCCTGGACCACTTCGTTTTTCAGCAGTACTTGAAACTGAATCTGTTGTAGCAGTAGGTGATTGCAAACATGTTTCAAGTGAATACGGGAGAAGTGTCAGAGCAGTAATTGCAGCAGCTGTTGGTAGTTGGCCTCTGCCTTCTTGCTAGATGCCTACTTTGTGCCATGTCTGCTGAGGGAATGAATACTCACTTCCTATGACCGTATATTTATCTTATTGGCGGCTGGTAATTCCCTTGGAGTTCTGCCTCCAAGTGTTTTTCTCCCAAAATACAGATTGTTTCTGCTCTTCTGAAGTAAAGAGTACTAGAGAAAAGGGCAGGCTGCAATTGCTATCTTGCCTTCAGTCAGCAGATTCATTGAAAATACAATTTGCAATTCCATTTTTCGTTGTAAATAAGTATTGAGAGTGTCTGTAGTAAATCAACTGTGGCAGGTTACTCAGTATTTCTAATTCTGGGTGGTTAAAATGCTCATAGCAAAAGCTTAAAGTGGCAGACAGTACTGTAGAACTACAGATTTAATACTGTGTTGTCTGCAGCCTTGGTGAAAGATGAGCCCTTACAGAAGTTAGGGAACTTGAATGGTGCTGTAACAAATTTCTTTGAGCTGTTTTGAAAATTTTTTGCTATAACTAAAGGGAAGTTCTGAAACAGGCAGAATGATACTCCTGAGCTCTTCAAGCAACAGTGAATGATCAGCTAGGTCTAAATTGCAATCAAAAGTGCAACCAAAATACATTTGAAAGTACAATCTTTCAAAAGACAGTAGCAGTGAAGGCTGTGATAGTGTGAGTGGGGTTTTTTGTTTGGTTCAGGCTAGGCTATACAAAACTACTGGAATCTTCAAAAGATATATATGCACAGACAAACTGGGCTAGCAAGCTGCCTGTAGTATTATGGCTGATTTTGTGTCTTACAGGTTTCTAAATTCTCTGATGACTGGGGTAGCAATGTAAGTGCATGTATTAATGCAAAGGCTGTTGTAGCCATGTTGCTGTTGTTGCTGTTGTTCCTGTTAACTTCACTCCCATACAGTCTTTGTGAAAGTCAAAGGCCTTAGAGGTTTAATTTTAGAAGTAAGGTATATATTTAAGTATGATCTTCAAGATACCTTTAGAGGCTAATGTCAAATGGTAGTTTTAATCATAGCTTGATGTTTTTTAGCCCAGTTTCTTAGACAAGCCTTCCATCCTACTTTGCCCTCCCAGTGTTTCTGGAGCAACCTTTACAGACAGGCAGAATTCAAAGGTGCTCATGTCTACTAGTTTTGTGAAAACTCTCAACTGGCTGCAGAGCCAGGCTAGTATTTTATTGCTGTCAGTGCAGGTGTAACTTGGAAAC